ATTGCGCAAAGGTAAAGGTCGTTTACCAACTAGAATGTGTTAGCTGTGGTGCACTATATATTGGTGAAACGGGTAGAATGTTGAAAGTTAGAATCAAGGAGCATTTAACGAATAAAAGGCGAGCGAGTGCGTTGACACCGTTAGGAAAGCATAGAACAGAAGTACATAATGGCGGTGATTTTGATGTAAATTGCACAATTTTGTCATACGAGGCAGAGATTATAGCACGAAAAACTATGGAAGCAGCTTGGATTTCTGTGAAGAATCCAAGTATGAATACCAAAAATGAAGGCTTATCGACGACCGAACTCTTGCCATTTCTGTCGATATGTGAGCTACAGCCTGCACATATATAAAGATCATTCTGGTGAGCAACGCTCGGTGTCGCCCGTCTACTTTGTGCGGCTACTGACTGACTCACTAATACCGCGGTGGAACGTAGGTCAGTTTCTACTACATCAGCGTGTGGCTCAGTACGTTGCCCTCGGGATGAAATCCAGACTGACTGATGTTTGGGGATTGCGTTTGGCGGTCTTATCTCGCAGATGAATAACTGCAATCTATTTCAGCCCTCCGAAGACGAAGACTTTGTCGAAACGTAAGGTCAATAAATGATACTACTACTAACCTGGATCTGGCACAAATAACATAGAACGAGTACATCAAGATGCACAGGTTCAAAAAAGAGAGATCTTGGAACTTACTGCATTTTATAGTTATTTAGCACAAGTAAACGGGCAACCAAGTATTGCGCATAGTATAGCCAAGGCAGCGTAATACTACGTTTAATTTCATCTACTTCAAGTGAAGCATGACGTAGAAGAGGTCAAAAATCGGAAAAAATTGTTATCGCACAAAAACCAGTGAAATCGCGAAGGGTTTGGAACTTTTGCCAATATGCTACCCTTTTTCAACAGTTTTTTTTATATAACGTGTCAATCAGTTGCTTTTATTACTTGTTCGATCCTCCGGTCGAGTTTTGTCAAGCGGATGTAAAGAACGGCTGACAAACCTAGACATGCTGTGCTCTTTAATAACCCGATCTAAAAGATTAGCCCTTATTGAGTTTATCTCTCCCTGGCATCAATATATGTCATGGAGTTCTCTTAAGCTGTCCAGTCTAGAAATGCTTTAGGCGCACATCCGTTATTGCTCAGCCAGTCACTTCAATCATTTCAGCCCATCGTTACCCATGTGGTAAATTTAAAACCTACGGCCTCTCTTTCGAGCAAACCACAAAACAGTACTGGATATTTGCCTTATTTTGCTCTCAGAAGAGATACAGCATTATGCGCGAGTCATCTCCGACTTAATCTGCGAGCCTTGCGATCCTTACTGCAGTAGACGCCATTAAAAGAAGCTTTATGGGTCACTAGTAATGGTCGGGCCAGCGGAAGAAACGATGGACTTGTGAACTACTACATGATAAGTATCGACCAAGGAAACATAAAAAAAGAAACATCCTTGAAACTTGAAAATTACCAGATTCTAGCCTTACGAAGTCTTGTAGGTTCCAGTCTTACATCCTTGTTAAAGTGAAGTAGTTGGCGTGGTGTGCAATATGCATATTGCTTTACAAATGACTCAGTGATTTAACACCAAAGAAAAGAAGGTCACCATTTTGCGGATATGTACGATAGGTAACAAGGAGCCAGTAGCGGAGCGAGCATGATTTTTCCATCCCCCTCCCCCCTTCCTCTTGAGAAACAAAATTTTTGACTGGTAAACATTAGTCATTAATCACTAGCTGGCTTACCCGGCTCCGCCCGGTTCTGTCAAAACGATAAAGGTTCCATTCCTACTCCTCTGCAACCTTTCCCTGTGCCCACTTTTGCTTGAAATTCCCGCTGTGTTAGTAATCAGTATGCTCACCTACCTTCCTCACCAACCTCTAGCCCCGTAACTCAAACTTCGCAAAAAAAATCAATAAAAATCGATAAAAGTAATGGATAATTTTGAAAACTAATATTCTAATCGTAATCAGCATGCTCGATTACCCCCTGTGCCAACTCCCAGCCCTTAGGTAAACCCTGCAAAAAATCGACAAAAATCGATAAAATCGATATCGATCGATGACAAAAAGTAGCCTATGACACGCTCCCTGCCCCGAAGTGTATGTGTGCCAAGTTTGGTCCGAATCGGTTCAGAAATGGAATTTTCTATTGGGAACATACGTATATACAGACGACAGACATACAGACAGACATACGGACATACAAACAGACATTCAGCTTTATATATAAGGGGTGGCCATTCTTCTAGATAGGGTAATACAGTCTTTTTAAACCCGGTGTAGGCGAAAACTCCAAGTGGAGCAGCGCGTCCGCACCGCCACTGGCTTGGTGAGATGCATTAGAAGGAAGAGACGCAGACAGCAAAGCAGCGCGAATCGTTGCGAAGCGGACTCCCGCCAGTTCAATTTCCGCCTATGAGTTTACTATAAGAATCCCTGTGATTGAATCGAATTGGTTTTCAAAATCCAAAGGATTAGCTGCCGCCAATTCGACGGCAGTTCTGGTGGACTGAGCAATTGACTTCCTTTTCGGAAATTTTTTTGGCTTTTTAAAAAATTTGTAGCACTAATGCTCTGTGAGCGCAGTAATTCTGTACTATCCCTTCTTGAAAACCTTTGTGATCGAGTGAGCAGATTTGCGGTATCCTGTGAGCTCGCTACCAGAGTGTGTGGAGTGGGACATGCGTAAAAGTTTTGTGAAAAACCTTTTCTTACACAGTAATTAGTTACTCCTCGCAGACATGTGTCAATAGTGACAACACTTTTTAATAAATTTTCAGTAAGTCCTACGTGTTTGATGCTGCTGCAATATAATTCTAATACAGAACTTCTTGGCACTTTGACTATTTGCTTATCGAGGGCTTGGGGCGGCGTCGTAAGCCTTGCAAGGAAATACGTCATGTGGAACTTCGTCAATATTGCTCTTGTGAAGACTTGGCGTTAACTCATGGTGTCCAAAACGGCAAACCTGTGATGCGCAGCTAGCTTCGAGTGATAGTATGAGTTTTCGAGAGGCCGATTTTTTGAAAGAAATAGAAATTCCTTTTATCGTCGTTTCCCCGGCGTACGTTGGGCGGAGCTTTTGCGGACATTTCAACACTTTGGTGAACTTGTCAAGCCTCCACTTCAAAGCATGGTTCTTTGCACTCTCTAACCTGCCACGTTTATATGCTGTTGTCACATGTGGCAGGGTTGGTAGCGAGAGATCACAAAAAACAATGCCTCGTAGTAGAGGGTTAACAAGTTCACCAACGTGCTGAAATGTCCGCAAAAGCTCCGCCCAACGTACACCGGGGAGATGACGATATCATAATGCGCGCCGCTTCACTTTACGGTCTTCAGCAAAACTATCTCTCCTTTCTTCCTGAACGGCCAATTATTGAAAGGCCAAATTTCTGACTGCTCCTCTTCTTTTTTGCCTACTCCCCTCTAAAGTTTCAGTCGAAATATTAAATGCATGCATACTCAGCCTGAGTGACCTCACCCTCCAATCTCTTTCCCTGTTTACTACTTGGTCTTTCCCGATAATTTTTTACAAAGTCATTTTGAAAGTTTTCCCTGCTTCCTCAGTTCATCCCAAAAAAAACTATAGGGCATTTGAAGAATCATGATGATGGCGCGACCGCTCGCTACCGCACACCAACCGCACACACTTTCGGTAATCGCATTTTCTTGGTTCCCACCTCTAGTCGATTTTTCTCTACTTATGTAGGATAGTATTTAGACACTGGAAGTGACTGAAATGAGCGTTGAGGTGATGCCTATGACTGTTTTATGCTCCTGTAAGCGCAAAGACCGCAGCCAAATCCGTCCGTCGTCACGATTTTATAAATGATCTATTAAGATTTTATGATCGGTTTTTGAAAGACTAAATCCTCAGAAAAAATAAGGAAGTTTCTCTACGTAGCGCCTAAACTCCTCACGCTCCTTCCCCCTCCTTACCATTTGTCTTCCTCACCCTCATAGGCATCTTTCTTTATGGAAACCGTAAGAGCATCTTTTTAACAAAGTACCGTTTTCTAACTATTTCTTCAAAAACCACAAATTGCATCCGACCTTTGAGGTTTTAGATGGAAGATATCCCATGCATGCTTACCCCGCTAAAATGACCGCAGCCAAACCAATTAGAAACGTAACCCTTTTTTAGAATATCAATAAAGCTTCATATTCAATATCACCCCCTTAATTTTCCAGAAGCAAAATAGTGTACCACAGACTATATAAGATTTCTTTGCATTTCCAAGCATAAATTGTATGGTAACTTTACCCTCTATTGCTCTACACCCTTTTATGTTAGCTAGAGTGTCCGCGTGACTGAGTAGGTAGAAAATTGGCAAGGCTCAAGAGAAGCTCAGACAAATGCTTTATTCGTTATCAACATCCCCATTTACCTCTTTAAGGAGAAAACTACATCCGTAGCTCAATATCTGTAAAAAAATCTATTATATCAAACTGGTTTGGCAAGTGAACACCCCTGTTTGTCAGTGAAGATTGCAAAAGGCAAGAAATCAACAATCATGAAAGTGAAGGCGATTTTTGATGGTTTTTATTCAGTAACATTAGCACCCCGTTCACCTCCCAGTGGAGAAATAAGCTTCTTTAAAACCTCCAGGATTTGAGCGTAAAACTGCAAAGATTGAAACAACATTGTGAAGATGGCCACATAGTTAATTGCATATAAACGAATACTGAGTGGTAGAAGTATCCCTAATTTACATGATCTTTGTAAATGATTGATCTTGAAATTTGCGTTGATCCATTGTGTCAGTCTCTAAGAGGAGAACGGGTGTGCTTGCCAGTCATCAAATCAAAAGTGGTGGTCCTCACCATTTACGAAAACAGCATAGCTCGTTGACAGCCAGTAGATGATGACGTCACCAACTCGCGGCGGCTGGGATGGGGGGGGGGGTAAGGTGATGAGTCATCATGTTTACGACTTCCTGGCTTCAGACATACGCGGCGAGGGGGGGGGGGGGAAGGCGACATACTCGTGCGCTTTATTATATGAATCCACTATAAATGGCACTCGGTGATGCAAAAATGTTTATCGGCAACAGACAACGTTGTTTGTTCACATCTCCACAATATTTCCTTCTTTCATTCGTCGTGAACGTTGTCAGAAAATGGCTTCTTAGAAGGATTCCTCCTCTTCTGAGGATGGTTGCTTGCGTTCTTCAGAATCAGTAAGCGGGCAGACTCCTACATAAATATACATATGAGAAATTATGGCTTAGGAGTTATTTTTTTGATTTGATGTCTACACGATAGAGGTTGACGGGCTCAATCTTAGTGAGGGGATTTGAGGCTTTTGTTTTCACTTTGCTTTCGTTCTTAGACAATATTCGAAAGGTCTTGTAACATCCTTCACTCTTAACTTTGTGGTATTATAGTGTCACTCACCTGTCTCATCGCAAATCCAATCCAGTTTCTTTCGCACATCAACAAACAAGCCTGAAAAGCATAGACAGCGAATGCATGCTATTGTACGAACTTTTAAAGCCCAACTTTTCGACATTTCTAGTAATCTTTCTGCATACTCTACGGCAAACTCAAAAATTTTCATCGAATAAATGAATATTGAATAAGTTTGAGAAGCAAAATTTTCGAATGAACGAATATCGGTTATATTTGAATATACTCAGGGTAGAATTTTGAACAATATTCAGTGTTATTTGAATGACCAGACATTGAATACATTATTCGCGTAATATTAGGTTGGCTCATAGGTTTTTTCAATTTTGACTGTCTAAAGCAATAAGTCATACACTTCTCGATTTTGAATGAGGTGCAGGGTACTGTTCGATAGAGCAAAGCAAACTACTCTGAAAGATGGTTTTAAGGTGTTTGCACCTACTTCAGTACATCAAGAGCTAGAAGCCGAAAAATGGGAACTTTTGGATGACCAAAAAATTGAAAAATTTCTATAGCCTTGTCCAAAAGAAAAGTTACCAAATCCCAAACTCGCCCACGCATATACACTCCACACAACACATTCATATGTTCCGTTACTGTGTTTGTTTCAGTGCCAGAAACCGAAAAAAACTAATTTCAAGTTTTCTAAAAAAGCGATGCTGCGCTGTTTTCACACAGGTATAATGTACACTACAAGCCCTTAGGAGCACAGTCACAGATTTCCAGCTTTCCACAAGCTCTAGTCCCCGAGAAATATTGATTTTAACATGAAATACCTTCGCAAAAAATTCGATGTTTCTCAAGAACTAGCGCTTCCAAGAGGCTGAAAAATTGCCGATATATTACGGAGGGCCTGTAGCATGCATTTACCTGTGCGAAAACAGCGCACCATCGCTTTTTTCAAAATTTGAAAATTTCAGTTTTTCTCGGTTTCTGGCACTGAAACAAACACAGCAACGGAACATATGAATGTGTTGTGTGGAGTGTATATGTGTGAGCAAGTTTGGGATCTGGTAACTTTTCTTCGGACAAAGTTATAGAAAATTTCCAATTTTTTGGGCATCTAAAGGTTTTCAGATTTCGGCTTCTAACTCATGATGTACTGAAGTTAGTGCAAACACTTTAACGCCATCTCAAAGAGCTTGCTTTGCTCTATCGAACGGTATACCTCAATCAGAGTTGATAATTACGTAACTTATTGCGATAAAAAGTCAAAATTGAAAATACTTATGAGACAACCCAATAATATCGTGTTGAAAGTTCGTTCGCGCATTTTTTAATAACTCTTAACTTCTAATCCTTCCAAAGGATTAGTACATAGCCAACTGTGCAGAAAAAAGAAGTCATGCGCCAATAGCATCTAAATGATGTTCTACCACGCCTAGAATGCGGGGAAATAAGCTGTAGAAGAAAATTACTCAGTTTCGACTTTCATGTGTAAAGTTGTCAGTAATCTAGAGTATGCGAAATCGTAGTGCATTGTTTTAGCTTTTGTTTTTTTAGAGTTTTTTTGAGTTTCAAAATTTTTCTCTCTGCGCAAAGTTCGTGCTGATTGAGGGTTTCTATCAAAACTTATATTAAGTTGAACCGAAAGTTCGTTCGCATCTTTTTAAAAAATCATAACTTCTTTCCTTCACAACGATTTTGAGCAATTCAAATTTTATCAGAAAGCGTAAGTCATACAGTTTTCAAAGGTCTCCTGAGGACTTTCGAACATCCTTAGATTGCAGAGATAAAAATGAAAGAAAGAGGTACCTCCGAAATTCGAATTTTTAAGCAAAAATTCTAAAAATCTAGAAACTGTGCGATAAAATCCAGAACAGTCATCATTCCAAGTTTTCTTATATTTTATTACTAGCTGAGTCAAGTTTGTGCTGATCGAGCTCTTCTTTCGAAACTTATGATTTTTTGAAAATGATGCGAACGAACTTTCGGTTCAACCTAATATAACTTTTGATAGAAACCCTCAATAAGCACGAACTTTGCGCAGAGAGAAAAGTTTTGAAACTCAAAAATACTCTAAAAAACAAAAGCTAAAACTAAGCACTACGATTCTGCAAACTCTAGATTACTGACAACTTTGCACTGGAAAGTCGAAACTGAGTAATTTTCTTCTACAGCTTAATTCCCCGCATTCTAGGCGTGGTAGAACACCGTTTAGATGCTATTGCAAAGCGCATGACTTCTTCTTTCTGCATAGTTGACTATGTATTAATCCTTTGGAACGTTTAGAAGTTAAGAGTTATTAAATGCGCGAACGAACTTTCAACACGATATTATTGGTTGTCTCATATTTTTCAATTTTGACTTTGACTGACAGATAAATAAATCCATCTGCTTTCTCATGTTCAATGCTTTATGACGACAGAAGACTCCGGAGATAAAAATTTGGATAGGAGGATTACCCATATCCGTGTTTTGAAATTAAATCGTCAAAAATCTGAAAAGTGTGAGATCATGTCTATTAGAGGAGTTGTGAGCTGCTTTTTTGAATGATGCCAAGTTTGTGCGGAACGACCTCCCCTTCAAAAAGTTATGAATTTCTTGAAAAATGCAGAAAAATGCAAAAAACGCCATTTTTGCCGTTTTTTGCATTTTTCGCGAAAATCACAACATTTCACAGAAAAGCTCGATAAGCACAAACTTAGCACCTTTCAAAAGGGCAGCTCATAACTCCTCTAATAAATATGATCTCACAATTCTTTTACGATTCATTGTCGAAAATCCGAAGTTTGAGTGATTATCAGGATCAAGCAAGAAGTGTGACACACGATCGCTGGTTACGACCCCCCTTATTGCTTTCTCAATAAGACCCCAAACTATATACCTAGAATAGCATTACTTGAAGGCCCTGTCAAACATAACGGGCAACTATCCATAATTCGCATGTCAATTAACCCCTGTAGACAATGTTTGAGCGAATTCTGAAGTTTCAAGATATTGGGTCACCTAAGTGAAATCGCCATATTCCAGCATTATTAACTTTGTTTGAAAAATGAAGTAGCTGGCTGTTTTTGCACTCAAGACAAAGCACTGCTCCTTCTTTGGCCACTTCAGAAATATCGCTTCAAAAGACCTCCTAACTTTGGAATTAAAAACCAACCAAAATCTTGCTTTTTATTTTTCGCTTTTAATGGCTGTGCTTTCCCCAGATATTACTCAGAGCTAAGAAGACGAATCAGGCACAAATCACTCCTATGAAATCTACGAGGCTAGGCTATCGATTCATATAACTTTCGCTAAAAATGAAATGATTTGATATAGTTAATGGGGTGGTGCCACACCCCATTAACTCACCTTCAAACAGAATCAAATAGCTGCGTTTTTTATATCGTTGTTACTGCTTAACCTTCTTCTTTACATAGCAGAAGTTTTATATATGCTTCTTCAAAAGCAAAATATAATCGTTTTTCCTATCTATGCAAATGTAAAATACTGGTAGAATACTGCGAAAATATCGGGATACGGTAAGATACTAAGTTTGCGCTACTACGTGAATCGCAAGGAAAGGCGACAAGAATGTATATATTCGATAACCTTAGCCTCGTAATCTACATCGAAGTGATTTGAGTCCGATTGGTCTTTTCTAGCCTGAGATATTGAAAACGAAAAATGAAACAGAAGAGATTTTGGCTTGCTCTTAATTCCTTAATTTGGAGTCACTTAAAGTAAGATTGCTAATGTGAGCAAAAAATAGTAGTTCTTTGTATTAAGCGCGGAAAGAAGTAGTACTTACCTTTGGAACAATGTAACATGTTTAAAAACGACCATCTCACTTAGGTGGCCCTGTATTTGGAAACTTCAGATTCGCAGAAACTTGGATCATTGGGGTTATTCGTGCTAATTACAAAACGATGCCCTTATGCTTTATAGATCTTCAATTATTCTTACTATACGTGTGCGATAATGGATTACATTAATATGCTAGTACAGAGTGTCCCAAAAGTAAGTACCCTATTTTCAGGTGTATAAGCCGCGGGGTGGTCCTAGCTTACATCGACCAGCCCGAACACATCAAAGGACCTCGCAACCAAAGGGCCCCACAGAGTGCTGCGTATTGCCTGAAAGAATCGTGCGGCATAAGGATCGCTTCTCGAAACACAATGAAGCGGCTGAGCAGCTCGTGGGAAAATTTGAAAAAGTGCGGCTTATACACCTGAAAATAGGGTACACACTTTTAAATCGTCAATATCTCTCTTCCCAATGGGTCTTTTTTAGCCAGTCAAGTACCATTCTGTAGAGGAGGCCTCAACTTAGATTTACAGTATTGATCAAATCACGGAGCTTTTCGTTACTGTAGGATTACAGTGAGAACTTCAGCATGTGGAACCATTGTGAAATATGCCATCTGACAAAATTTTTTTCAAGAAATCTGAAAAATTGTGTACTAAGGAATTCGCGCAAGCTGATTATACTACACAACTATTTATGAGCGTTTTCAGCATTTTTGACGGTGTAATTACATTTCTGACAAATACTGTCGGTTATTACGGTTTACTTGGGATAACTTTGGAAAGAAGCATCATAGTAAAGTGAAAATTCCATATACGAAATCAGCGGCTTCCGTTACCATAATATTTTTGGCTTGTTTGGTTTTGTTCCGAGGCAGAATGTGGCTTCCAATGGCCTAAAATCCTTGTCGAAGTTCCTACAGTAATCCTACAGTAATGAAGAGCGACCGACAATTCGCTCGATACTGTAAGCCTAAGTTGAAGCCTTCTCTACAAAATGATATTTATTGGCGGGAAAAGACACAAGGGGAAGAGAGATATTAACGATTGAAAAGTGTGTACTTACTTTTGGGACACCCTGTATTTTGACGGGCCTATTTGACACTGTTAACGAATATCATATTATGCGAACAGCGGATGCCTTGATAACGACCCCCCCCCCTAATTCCTCAATACGACTCTCCAGGTGTGGCACCCCACACCCAACGCTTGACCTTGGTGATTGTCGAAAAGCAGCAAGGACGTTTTTAGAAAATAGATGAATTTCCATCTGAAGGTGTTTTTTGTAAGTTCAATACTTCGTACAGAGAGCAGTTACATTTCTCAAAATCAAGGGCAGAACTTTTGAATCAACCTAGTAGAAAGAATTTAGGTGCTGTCATAAAGCGCATGATTTCCTCCTTTTAGAACAATTAACTTTGTGCAAATCCTTTTTGATGCAACCTAACATGAATTTTGGTACTTTTCCGTTATCCGGACCCACTTTTTCATAGAAGAGGATTGTTTCTATCCTTGCACCATATTTGCTCCCAGCTTTACAGAAAGAAGTGTCATCCTTCTGCCACGTGCCAAAAAAATTGACATGTCATTTACATGTTCAACAAGTTTAACAAAGAGTTTGTGTTACCCTACTTGTGGCGTAAGTTCAATCTGTTTTGTAGTCATTTTTGACCTCACCTTGATCGAACAGTTCTAAAGTGAACATTGCCATAATAATAACGACAATTGTTATCGACGAACAGACGAGACTTGCTCAGAGTAGAGAAGTGCGGTAGGATTATGTCATTCAAGAGAAAAACTATGCAGCAGCAAGGTACTTTAAACTATCATTTATAGTCTTTTCTGGCTAAATTTGCATGGTGAAGAGTTTGATGAGGAAAATATTTTTTAATCACTGTTGAAAGCAAACTTCTGAAATAAATTCATGATTGTTTTACTCTACGTGAAACAACTGAACAGCTTTAAGGTGATCACGAATTCCCTTTTACTTCATCGAAATCATTTCGAAAAAAAAACATTTCAAAATGGACCGAAAGTGTCAGTTTTTTGTGACATGTGGCAAGGAGGCAATCCTTGTATCTAGAAAAGAAAATATTCTTAGCTAAAGAAAGAATTATTAGGGTGATCGGTAAAAAATGGGGCAGCTTGATTTTTATTAAATTTTGAGATTTTTGGTTTCGATCAACAACAAGCAGGCTGCAACGTTAGTCGCTTATATAAGCGACCTTCGCCTATTATTCTGGCAAAGCGTCAACGCTCCTCTCCCACAACCCTATTCGTGGCGCCCTGAAGAACGCGAACAGGGTTTTTTGAACAACTCTCAATCTTGCACTGCTATACCTTAAAGGCACCGTCCACCCTAAGTTGAGGATGTTGAGCTTTTGGCAGGTATAATAGTAGGGACCCCTATCAATCCATTGCCCAAGTCGCAGCGCAAATTGCCGCTTCGGAAGCGAGAAAATCGCTTCGGAATAGCGAAGATTCACGAGGACCCCATCCATGCCCGCCCATTTGTGCGCGCCCATCCAATCACCGTTCCAGAAAAGCGGCCTGTGGGTTCTCCGAAACGGGGATTGTCGGGGTTTCGCGCATTCTCGACTTCATATTCGGAATCAGGGACATGGGAAGGCCCTGAAACGATAAAAACGTGGAAGTCGAAAATCTGGGTGGACGGTGCCTTTAAAGTAATAGAGCAATTGACATACCATTCGAAAGAGCTCTTCATGCTCTTTCAAACAGTATATTAATCATACAAGATTATCTTCTACTTCTGGGTAAAAAAAGCGAATTATCTGAAAAATCGCGATTTTTGGCGCAACAAAAACCAACAAGCAAGTTACAATCTGTATTTTCCAAAGATAGATAAAATGTGAGGTAAGCTGCACATGGATGGATAGAGCGCAATAAGCTCTTTCAAATGGTACCCTTACGTTTATCTGCAAAGAACTGAATAGCACGTATCTTTGTTCTTAAAGCTGTTAATGGACATGGCTCCTGAATTTGAAAGTTGAGGCCAGCAACACTTCTTGGTCTGGTACCTTCACGCGTTGCAGCAGAAGTATTTTGGATGGTTTCTTATGTTTCACTGCGCAGATACTGCCCGAAGTTTATAATTTGTCAAAGTGACTAACTTTGCATTTCAGCCACTATAAAAATTATTAGGTACGTAAATGACCTTATATAGGTATTTTCTGAAAGAGAATAATTTTTTCTAACATTTATCAAAATTGGAAAGTTTAATCACTTTTCTTTTTTTTGAGAAATCTACATTTATTCTCTAGGTGTCCCATTTTTTACCGATCACCCTAATATATGAGAGCCTTTTGAGAAAATGGGCAGATAACGGAAAAGTACCTGAATTTTCGACCGAGCTATCCAAACACTTAAAGGCATCGTCCAGGCAAGTCTGGACACATGAAGATCTTACGCGGATAGTAATTTTGGGGCCCTAATTAAGCCAGTGCCCAACCGGCAGCTCAGGTGGTGCTCTAATGGATGAAATATTTCCCTCGAAACTGGACCCCGCGATCGTATTTCGCGTGGATTCATGACGCAAAGAGTTGGTCCTGGCGCGAAACTGCCACGAATCCATGCGAACACGATTGCGGGGTCCGGTTTCGAGGGGAATATCTCAGCCGTTAGAGCACTACCTGCGCTGCCGCTTGAGGAGTGCCTTAGTGAGGGCCCCAAAAGTGCTTTTCAAGGAAAATCCCAGAGGTCCACATCTGCCTGGACTCTGCCTTTAAAAGAACCATATCCAAAATTGCCGACCCTGCTCGCTCGATGTGGCTCCAAATTCGAATAATTCAGATACAATTTCATTTCATACAATTCGAATGAACTTCGAATAATATTCGTTCAAATCGGTCTTCAATAATTCAAGTTTTCGAATTTATTCGAGGCCCTTCTATGAATCGAGCCTTCGTGATCGAATTTTCTTTCGACTTGGACTAAATTTTAATGCTTACCCAAACTCTTATGAAGGAATCCTTATACTGGCTCATTTTCAAAGTAGAAAAAAGCAAAAATAATTGATTGGTATTTGAGTCTTGACAAAGAATTGTTGTTGCGTGTGTTATAATTCCTACAATCTAGACTGATTAAAGGGCAACATACAATAGGGCAAAACAACAGACGCTGACATAGACAAATAGAGAATGGGCATTATTTCTAGAGACTTTCGGATCCCGATCTCGCCTGGACTACAAGTTCAAGTTGGCCCGGGTACATAATGGTCTAGAGCATTCAACGACTTATCCCCCTTCCGTTTGCTTTCTTTCGTTATGCTTTATTCTCCCAACCTACTCTCATGGTTTACCTTCGCAATGCCTCTCTATTTTTTCCTATCGTGCTTCGAATCTGCACTGTGCACCTGTCTTTTCTGTATGAATTTGTCTTTTCCTGGCTTTAAGAAGTGAGCGTTATCACTGCCTTCCCCAGATTGTGGATTTCTGTAGGAGAGCAAATCTTTGCCTTATGAATTTGAAGGCGAAGCATATACTTATCAACACATATAAACCCAGGTGTACATCGATTGAAATCAACTACGAAATGGTTTGCCTAAATCAGTGCGAATTTAAACTGGCCACTTCAGACTGGCAATTTTTCATCCACTTCATCGGAAATCGAATCAAACTTGTTCGCTTGATTATGCACTGCACCAAAACCAGTACCTGTAGTTTACTGGAAAGCCAGCTTAAGTTTTTCAAATACGGCTTTGGAAACAGCTGTTTTGGAATCTGCATCGCTAAACATCGATCAATCTACCTTCAAACTCCTCTGCAGGTGGTTCCGTTGATGTCGATGTTATACCAACAAGATAGTATTTCCCTGCCCGTATCTGAAGCAGTGGCCCACCACTATCTCCCTGAAAAAGGAAAACTTATCTACCGGCTGCTCCTTTAACACTCTTCCTACTTTATTCTGTTTCTTTTAAAGAGAACGAAGGAACTCTGACAATATTTCTGCATTCTGCATTTTTATTGGAAGTACGCAGGTTTTCTGGAAATCAGGTGTAGTGCTTTAACTCACATGGATTGTTGATTCATTCCTACGCTTAGTATACGCCAGGAGTGAATCTTTCATTTCGGGGCCTTCTTCTACGCTTTCGTAAACCACGGCTTGTATAGAATAATCTTTACCTAAAGTCAGAATTTAAACAAATTCAGATAGGGAATTGGAAATGTACTGTCTGTTAGGATTGGTATATTAAGTTGAAACAGCAGGCAGTTGACGCTAGTCGGTCTCTTGTATAGGGCTCGATACGAGCTGAGATCCGGGAGTCTTTAGATGGACATCTTCCTTTGATTTCGCAGAATTATTAGGACCTTCCCTGACCTTTTTTATACCCCGCGCTACTTCTTGGATTGCAACCGAAGCAGACACAAATAAACGATTATAGGCAAGAACCTAGGTCGAAATGAGAAAGGTAAGCGTCAATGAACACCGAACATCAATGAAATTGAGGTATCGCCTAGGGATACGTTTTGCTGTGCTCTGATGTCTTGGTAATGAAGAGAGTAGAGGACAATACGAAATCGTTTCGTGCTAAGTGTGAAGTGTCTTAGGCCCATATGCACGTACATCCCCGCTGGGGAGGGGAGAGGATCTGAAGGGGGATGCGTCATATCTCGCTACTCTATATATCTTTCTTCTTCCTTCTCTATTTGGCTTGTAAAGGTTCTCATACCCTTAACCTGCGCATAATGGATGCAGGTTACTTCCATACAAGATTGGTTTTTCGTCAATTTTTTGTCAATTTGTGTTCCCCTGGGGATCTCCTGGGGATCCCCAGGGAACACAAAGTAGTGAAAATCTAAACAATTAAGCCAGTAACCTGGCATCAGTTATGCGCAGGTATAAGGGTATGTAAACGAAAAACCAACAACGACTGTTTACACATCGGAACATTCAACGTGAGACGCCTGCCAAACGAAGTCCAACTACATAAACTGCAAGAAGCCCTGAAGAGAAGACGACGCGATATACTGGCCCTAACGAGATGGAGAGACGAATTTCAGAAGCAGCTTGGCACTTGCAAATGGCAAAGAGTAAGATCACTCACTTTAAAAGAATGGATCAGTTTGTTTGAATGCCGCATATTGTAATAATATGAGAGGCAAATAAATCATCTTATATATAAAGCTGAATGTCTGTATGTCTGTATGTCTGTATGTCTGTATGTCTGTCTGTCTGTACGTATGTGCGGAATAGAAATTTTTATTTCTGAACCGATTTGGACCAAACTTGGCACACATATACTTCGGGGCAGGGAGCGTGTCATAGGCTACTTTTCGTTATCGATCGATGTCAGCATGCTCGATTACCCCCCTGTACAAAATCCCAGCCCCCTAGCTCAAATTTTGCAAAAAATCGGTAAAATCGACATCGATCGATAACGAAAAGTGGACTATGACACGCTTTCTGCCCCGAAGTGTATGTGCGCAAAGTTTGGTCCCGGGCGGAGCCGGGTTTGCCATCTAGTCTTATATATAAAGCTGAATGTCTGTTTGTATGTATGTTCGTGTGTACGTATGTTCCGAATAGAAAATTCCATTTCTGAACCGATCCGGACCAAACTTGGCACACATACACTTCGGGCCCCGGCGGGTGTCACAGTCCACTTTTCGTTATCGATCGATGTCGATTTTATCGATTTTTTGCAAAATTTGAGCTACGGGGCTGGGAGTTGGCCCAGGGGGGTAATCGAGCATGCTGATTACGAATATAATAATGACAGGGCCGGGCGGAGCCGGGTAAGTCAACAAGTAAAATCATAAAATCATAGGGGTATGGGAACCTTTATAAAAGATAGGATGCATCCCCTCTCAGATTCCCTCCCCTCTCAGGCGGGGATGTACGTGCATACGGGCCTCAATAAAGTTTCTATCATGGCAACGATCTATGAAGAACCATGAAAAGGTACGTGAGCAAAAGATAGTTAGGTTCAGCTCAGTTAGTTCTCACAATCAGGTGAAAAGGGGGAAATTAAGCACGGTTTTCAGTCAAATTCACAAAGTTCTTCTGCCAGCAACAAATTTGGTGTATACCAGTGATTGTTCGTTCCATACACGCATTTGTTCATTCAGCGCCAATTCGAATTACTACGCGGTATGAGTTTATGTCAAAGTACTTGAGTAGTGCTTGATTTGATCTGTTTTAGCCGTGTTTCTATGGTTTCTAACGTAAGGTTCGCATCTAATGTAGTTTCTTACGACAGGTCTCCTCCCTCCCTCTCTCTCCCCCTTCCCCCCCCCCCCCCCCCCGTCGCTTGTTAGTTTCCCATAAGGACAAATGCACAGTAAATTTATGTACACAGGCGCTGAACAAGTCCGCTTTGTACTCACTATGTTCTCCATATCCGATGGATATAAGCCTTTGAGGAATAATATCATGCTCTTGGGGCATACAAATAGGCTTGAAATCTGGTATGTCCTGCTTGAGCTCGATCATACCAATGTCATGTGTTGTTCTATTGTCACAAGCTTCATCCACGTCGTAGTTTTGGTGTATACGTACCTGCACAAACAGTGTCATCTTAGTAATTTTGGCGATTTTGCGATGTACTAATGTCAGGTTCTATCAGTGGAAATCAGCTTCACTTACAAGCGCTACTTCGTAAACTCGCTTCTTAGTCCAGCACTCCTTAGTACTGCAGGAACTTTGAAAAACACCAACTTCTTGGGCGGGAGTTTCTTGTAAATCTAGTTGTTTTTGCGATCTAGAAACAGTTTACGACCGCGAAAGAAAAAGAGAAATCGAGTTGTACCTTTGTTTACATGCCTCCTCATCATTCATGACTAAGCAATGCGCAGCGGTCAGAATATGGCGAGATGAGATTAGCACGCCGCTGCAAAAAGGTTCGCTATGGGACCCAGCAACATCTGAAACTCGAGATTGATTTGCTAACGCAATTGCAAGCTTGGGGGAAATGCTACGAAAGGCACTGACCGTCTATCTCGGACAAAGCGAACACAAAGGGATATTTTGATTGATTGACTCGATATCGCTTATACATGTTGGCTGCCACTAAATGCAAGGCACATGTTATTTATTACAATAAATCTCAACTAAGATACAATAATAGAATGTTTTTAACCCTTATGGCAGATTTCCAGCGAATGCCTACCAGGTAATATAACAGTCAATTTCAGATGAATTGTTTTTGACTGCTACAACGTGTTAGATAATGTATTTTTCGTAAAGTACTATGAAAGCTGCTTTACGTTAGACTTTTCAACGCTTCGGCAAAGTTGCGCTTTTACTTGGCCTATGCGAACTAGGTTCTCAAAGCGCATCTACTAACAGGAAAATCTCCAGAATGGTGTGTGCTTTGCAGCTTCCATAGGAAAAGCAGCATTTCCAGATTCAATCACATATGCAAAACCATTTTCTGTACCTCATTTAGAGCTCTAAAACTACGCACAAGTGAATGCAAAAAAGATCCCTTCTGTCATGTATAATTGCGATAATGGTTCGATAATGACCATAGTAATCTGCCTGATTTTGAGACAAGTGTTTGTTACCTGCAGACTTGCTGCACCTTTCTTTTAGCTTCCAATTCTCTTCTTTAGTAATTTTCCCCGCATGTGCAGTTTGAAGGAGGAAAACCAACCAGAGTATGGTCATCTGAAAACAAGTTTGATATTTATTGCATTGCGCAGATGTTGAATCTTGCTATGGCAATCAAATGTTTGATACATAATAATCAGTTGAGGCGATTCATTTACGAATCAAACGAGTATCAAATCCTTCCTTAATTTTTTGAAAACAAGACATAGAGATCAGATTTGTTGCTGGCTATCATTAACTATATCATCTGGTTTAATTCATCAGTTTTTTCCTATTTGATGCCACATTATCGGATCGTGTAGCGGGACAAATACCGCTAAAAGACGTCGCCTCTGCGGATTACTGATCCTTTCCCATATTCTTATTCCGGTAGTCCAAAGAGGCGGCGCCTATTCGATTTCAACAGCTAAGTAGGCATTTTTGTATAGCTATGCTCAAACTAAAAAAGGAGTACAATGGATGTATAGTTCGTATTCCAGCATATGAGTACCTACGAAAGAAAGCTGCGTTTTTTTGCCTCAAATAGTAGTTGGTTTTCCTGAGTACACTAAGTGTTAGCTATTAGGTTGTTCCATAAGTTCGTAGCGTTTTCATTTTCGTCCTCATATCTTTGAGAAGCGTTTGATTTGCGGCAAGATACGTAAATCATTTGAAAGGGCTGATTGTGCTCTTTAGAATACGCCTACTGATTTCGGTGGGAAGCTGATTCACTCGGACCTCGCAGCCTCCGAAGATGGAAATCTTGGAGGGCAAAAGAGCAATTTTGGCATTTGCGCATTTTCCCTTAAGAGAAGTGCTTTTGCACAGATTTTTGTGTCGATTATGCAACATGGCGCTCGCACATCAATATGGGCCAAAAAAGGATTGGATTGCTACAAAAGATCAGGGGCTGAGCAGGGTGTCTCTGAACAAGAATTTCCAGGGGACGGGCAGGACGTCCTGCATTGAAATTGCTGTACAGGTAGGTGATGGTCAACCATACAGTAAGCAATCCAACTGCATCGTCTAAACCAGGTCCCACGCAGAAAGCTTAACAGACAGATCCAGTGAGCTTCCGCATGACGAAATATGGCCTCATAGGCAAACTGTCCTGCACGATTTGACTGGATATTACTTCAGCAACCAAAGTACTCTCCAAATCTCGCTCTGTCAGATTATTAGTTGCTCCGCTGTTTGGTAAACCACTGAACGGTGCCTGTTTCGATTTCAGTAAGTAGTTTGAGCGTTGGTTAGATGACTTTTTTGGAACCTGGCGCGCTACCACTCAGATAATCGCCGGGGGCAGGCGGCCATGCGATTTATGGGCGGGCGGGCGCCGGAGAAATAGTTTGCTGATTTCTTGCGGTCCGCTTGCAGATATTTGGAAGAATTTTAGCGAAATTTTAAACGGATGCTTGGAGAACAATCGCGGTTTCCTCATAGATTAGCGCGGCGCAGTGGCCGCATTCTCGCGGAAGGTCCGCGAGAATATGAAAATTTTCGAGGGCCGCACGGTCCTTTGTGTAGGACCGCGCAGCCCCCAGGTACTTTCCGCTGAGAGAAAGTACCTCAAACTTGAGTAATTGAATCAACGGTGACACCTCTGCCACACAGAGTCTTACCTGTGCTCGGCGTATGTCCGAAATTGCTTGAGTCCGACCGCTCACTGAAAGTTTGGCCAGTTCTCGCTGAAAGAAATTATTTGCCAAGCGCTTGCAGTGCAAGAAAATGCTGTATTGCTGCCCGTGGCAGAATATGCGACCGTAAAGGAAGTGCCGCCACCTGAAGGTTTGGTCACGCCCCAAAATTCTGTTGACCGCTTGCAGAAAAGCGCGAGTTTGCGGACCGCCTGCCCACGGCGATTATCTGAGCATTTGAAAGATTGAGGTTGAGAAGCTAACAAGTGTGTGCGAGAAGGTCGTGCGCTACAAAGAAGAATATAATTTTGGCTGATTTTTACCGTAAACTAATGGTTTTGTTTTTTTATATTAGGGTGTTTTTTTATATTAGGGTTAAAAAATGGGGCACTTATGAAATAACTGGAAGTTTCTCAAGAAAGAGAAGTGATTAGACTTTCCAATTTTGATAGTTTTCAGAATATGTTATTCTCTTCAAACAATACTCATATAAGGTCATTTGCATAATTGATAATTTTTTATACTTGCTAAAATGCAAAGTCAGTCACTTCGATAAATTATGAAGTTTGAACAGTATCTGCGCAGTGAAACATGTAAGACCACCCAAAGTACCACTGCTGGAGGGGGTGGTGGGACTGCCGCTATACCCACGACGGCTTGATGGCCTCAACTTTCAAAGTCAGGAGATATGGCCATTAACAACTTCGAGAACAAAAATATGCGTATTCAATTCACACCTGATAGAGCTTTTTACGCTCTATCCATCCATATACAGATCATCTCAGATTTTATCTATCTTGGGAAAATATAGGGCAAAACATGGTTTTCTGGTTTTTTTATTGCGCCAGAAAATGGCTATTTTTCAGATTTTTCGCTTTTTTTTCTGAAATTAAAAAGAATCTCATGCATTTAACATATGTTTGAAAGAACATAAGGAGCTCTTCCGAATGGTATGTCACTTGGTTTATGATTTTACGGTATAGCAGCGCAAGATTGAGAATTGTTCCAAAAACCCTGTCTGAGTTCTTCACGGCGCCACGTGCACGGTTATGTGAGAGGGGCGGTAACGCGTTGCCAAAATAATAGGCGAAGGTTGGTTATGTAAGCGACGTTTGAGTTGCAGGCTAGTTGTTAGTTGTGAACAGAAAACCTCAAAATGTAATAAAAATCAAGCTGCCTTATTTTTTACCGATCACCCTATAAGAACGTTACGAACTTATAGAACGACCTCATATATAAATGATAAAAAGTGAGAGAACACAAAGTCTATGAAAGGCAAGCAGGAAGCTTGAGCTGATTGGAGATAATGTGGAGGAAGATAATGAGTGGCTTTTATACAGCTTTTTTGACTCATTTGATATTCTTTTCCCATTTCACTCTCCAAAAAATGTCAAAAGTAATGCTTCCACAGTTTAATCACCAAACAAAACTTTTGCAAGCTACCTCAGCTACTCAGATGTACATCAAATGGCGATATTTTAGCGTTCTCTCATTGTCTGATCTCTCATCAGCGACGAAGAATATTGTGTTTCAACTCTTCCAATATATGCATTGAATCATGACCTTCAAAAACATCTTATGCCGAATAGGCTTAATAACACTAAGGTGTTCACCTTTTCTCGCTCACCGCTTCAATACATTCGTCATCTTCTTCATGATATCATATTCTTAAAGTTCTCATCATTGTAATCCTTGCCATTCTTCTGTATGTATCACTTGGAGCATCAACGTTATGCAATGTGCTGTGTAGTGTGCTTGCGCCTGACAATTTCTGAACACAAACTTCTAATGCTGATATCCGAAAAGCAATGTACTCCACAGAGAACACATTCAAATTCAGTGAAATCTTGCGCTATCAATACTAGTACAAAATCTCTCGTTACTTCAACCTTCTAACTAAGCAACTGTCTAAGCCACGTTGCATCATTTCCCATCCAGAGAAAATTCGCTCAGATGGAACGGTCCGTAAGCATACCAGACTCATCGTCCAAAAAGACGGCTGCAGGTAGTCGTCGTTGACTTGCATATCTGAGATTCTGTTAATTGACAGTAAGCCCTGACAGGACTCAGCAGTTGCTAAGCAGCTATTGCTCATCATTCGCAAACTTGTCGGTTGCCTCCGTAGTTTAAAGGCATCGTCCACCACAGACTGGGCGTGGTTTTGATGCGGTACAAGAGCCGGGTCGCAAAAGCAAATTTCTGCAATAAATCCATTACAAAAGGTAGATTCTGCAGCGAGAAAATCGCTTAGGAGAACGAATGCGGTATTAGTAATTTCGTGATTTTGACACCATCAAAGGTGGCAATGAGTTTGAAAACAAGGCTCCAGAAGTACCTATGAAGCCAAAATATGAGTCTCCCATCCAAATTCGCATTCCCATTATTTATATCGTCAATTCGCTGATCGCACGAACTGCTCAAACGCTGCGGACCTCTCGGCGCGGTTGAAATGTTCCGAGGTCGCGATTTGTGCAATGGCGCATTTGTCTTTTCACTACTCAATACTTTTCGTTTACTTGTGATTTGTACATTGGCGTGATTCAAGGACTGACAGAATTGGTGACGATTTGAACGTACATCCATCCTTTGCTATCATAATTATAAGCATAAACCCATGAAACTGCCAAAATCCGTAAAAAAATCAATGGCGCAGTTCACATACATAGTTTGCGACTGAAACATAGTCTCCTAAATGAGAAACAAATTTTTGAACACTGACCTAGTATTCTCATTGTGGATGATTAATTAAATGTAGTAATGCTTAGAGCCGTAGTGTTTGCTGCTCTACGAGCCATCGTTGATGGTGATGGTGAGGTTGCTGTAAAAACTAATAAAATAATAATACCAAGAATATTGATGTGAAGTAAAAAACTTGCATTTTCTCGACTTCTCGGGTCATGCTGAAGTTGGAGGTAATCAAGTGTGTTGTATTTCCAGTACGCGTTGATGTCGCTGTAATCTCTTCTGGTTGGAAGATGCGGGCGTAAATTTGCAATTTGGCGACTAGAGAAGAAGCCAACGTATCATCTGTTGGTGGTTGACATTAGCGATGGAAGAACTACGCTTGCTGCAGAGTTCGACGAATCCAACGAGGTTGATGCCGTGGTTGCTCAAATTAACAGTGAATTTTTCTATTTTCCGAAAGTTTTGTCCGTTTCTTCAAACTACTATAAAACCATGCACAATAAAGATCTGAATGAGTTTCAATATACATTCGATACAGCTTTTCCTTCTCTTTCTTACGAATATATAATATTTTCGAACGACAATCTTGTGTGCTTTTTTTGATAATTGCCAATATCGTTTACCCGTCAATTTTATCTACTCAAATTTAAGCTAATTTTTGAAAATTTCATTCCGTAGTTCCAGAAAGGTTCAAGTATGGATCAATTAGAGTTATTTTCGGACTACATCGGATATTAAGATAATATTTTTTCAAAT